CACTCAATCAATCAGTCAGTCAGTCAGGACAAACAGTCCTATGTATGTAGATAGTCTTATCAAGGGAAACATCAAATTGAATATACTTATAAAAATATTTCAACTTATCACAATCTGAAATAGTTGCATAGAAGTTGAAAGCGTAAATATGCTAGTGGACTCCACTGTGCGTTAAGTTGCCTGGGGTGACTGCGACGGGGAGCCCGGGTTGACTTGGTTGGCGATTGCGATTGCCATTACGATTGCGACTGGGCACACCGAAGGCCTGTCAGTTGCAGCTACCAAAGAGTCTGGCCCTGTCAGGGTATGCCCCACGAAATTTGCATTAGAATTGCCTGCTCCGACTGTGAAGTGTGTGAAGTGGGCGTGTCATTGGCATATGGCGCTTTGGTCTAACGCCCAGCAGTCCAAGAGTGAAACACTTCTGAAGCACGAGCTAGCAATGCCTTCCAAAATAAATGCCAGAGTTCACTAAGATAAAAATCGGAAAATATTCTTAGCTTAAGCTAAAAATATCAGTGAAGCTCTTTATTGAAGAGGAGTTAGAAATTGATTCCAGAAAACCTTTGTGAATTACACCCAACTACACTATACCCTGTGCACAGCTCTGTTAACAATTTAATTGAATCGAATTGAGCTTGTTTGATTTGTGGATTGGTGACTCGTAGACTGTTAGTCTAGGACGCTATCTTTCAGACCTTAGGAAGCATTTTTGCAATATGTGTAGGTTTCGTTAAGCGTGGCCGCAATTTTGTTCCACATGGCAAATTTAGACTACATATTGAGTGGGCCAAGCAATTTAAACACTTTGTCGGACGCATATAGACATTAATTATTGTGAAAAAACATAGATTCATTTGCCATAACAAATGGGAAGTATATTTTACAATATTTTTTAATGGAAACAACAAGTTTCCTATGTTGTTATAGAATTAACATATTACAAATACATTTTCTTTTTAAAGATATCTTTCAATTAACACATTCTTAAATATATATCGTCCAGCTCGAGTATATGCACACATTAAGTTGCCATAGTTGGGCACGGAGAATTGCATACAGAGATTGAACCACAGCTACCGAAGTTACTTAAGAAAGAATTTTCTATAGTGTGGGTACAGCGAAGAAGAAGGCGCTTGTTCATGTGTGTGTGTGTGAGTGTGTTTGTGTTCGCGTAAAGGGCGATCGAGCGATCGACGACGATCAGCTTGAAGCTGGGCACGCTGTATCCCCTAGTAGGTTTAAAAAAGAGCATCTAGTAGTCGGTAGCTGCCGTTCACTTTAAATGGTGGGTCAGGCAATGAAACTGCTGTTGTTGTTGTTGCTGCTGCTTCTGTCGCTGCTCGTGGCAACTTAACAAAAACAGCTACCGCTGCAGTTGCCAATTACGGCAACTGCATTTCTAATTAGACACCCACAGTAACGCACACACTCACACACACACACATTCATAGAGGATGTGTGTATATGTGTGTGTGCGCTGAATGAGTTGCTCATACGACGCATCTGACGGCTGCGTGGCTTGCGATAAAATAAAATAGCACAAAAGAAATTAGCAGTTGGCTGGCAACCAGCAGCGAATGGGCATGTTGGGACTAAGGCGGGAGCCGTGGGATTGGCTTCTATGAGCATCCTGTCGGGAGTGGGATGAAAGCTCAACCATGTGCATAAATCATAAAAATTATTATTTTATGAATTGCGAAATGCAAAAATAAAATAAAAATATACTGAATGCGAAAGAGACAGAGCGCAAGGGCTAGTGCCCAAGCAAGAGAGTGAGCAGGACGGGGAGAGAGAGGGTGACAGAGAGAGAGAGAGAGAGAGAGAGAGCACGCATAGCTAATTCGAGTAGTAGCTTGTGGCTGGACCTAGGAGGTACGAGGGGGCAGCGGTGTCGCATTAGGTAAGTTAAGCTTTGAGCGGGCTGTCGGGCATTTTGTTGCACGCGTTGTGGCATTGTAAAACGTTGCATGGCACCAAATTGCACAGCACAAATGGCACTCGGCAAGCGGATTTATGAAGTGCACTCAACTCGACTAAAAAAAAAAAAAAAACAAAAACATAAGCATAAACATAAACAGTACACAAGCCACAATGGCAATAACTAAAATGACACCCACCCACACACGGTCACAACTGACAATTGGTTTTTTACTGTTGGCTAAATGGTTTGGAATTTCAAATCGAACGCATTTCGATACTTAACTCCGCAATCAGCGAAATAATAGCACATCTGAACTACCGCATAAACTGCATTTAAATGTTGTGAAGAACCATTAACTAATTGGCGGTCCATTTTGAAAGAACATTTGCACTCGTTTTATCCATGTGCATGGCAAGCATAGACATTATTAGACATTATATGCAAAACTATTTCAAATAAATGCACCAAATTAAATGAAATTTGTGTGATCCATATGAATCGCTATTTAAAATTCTGCAAAGCTAATTGGCCTGTTCAAATAAAGCTAATTTTACGATTGGCCATGCTGCTACAACCATTTGGGAATTATAAGCGCTTGGCATATAAGCTGTGCTACTTCGCATGCTAGTCATCCACTATTGCAGCCATATAAACATCTTAAAGGAGTAAGAGAAATGCATACAAAACTGAGCAGTACGTAGGGTTTCTGGTTAACCTTGTAGTGGGTATTATAAATTATTCACGTAATGAGTAAAACATAAAAGAAGACATTTCTTATCTTTATATCAATGGATTTAAGTCTCTCAGCTTTGCAGTTGCCATCATGAAACTACGCATAGGTCCGTCTTTCTCTTGCGTATAGTACATGTGTCGGATTTGGCTGACATAGGAAAAATATATTAACCAGGCTAGGTAATTATAAGATTCAGCATGTCCATGTCCATGTCCATCGGATTAATATATCTTAATATATCTTATGTATCTTATATATCTTAATATATCATACATATCTTATATGTATATCTTATGTATCTTTAATATCTTATATACCTAAATATGTCTCAATATATTTTATATATCTTTTATATCTTACATATGTATGTTAATACACTATATCTTACATATCTTATACATCTTATCTCATATATATCGTTTACATATGTTATATATATATCTTATATATCTATAATTTATCTTACATATTTCTACAGATAGAATAGCTATACGTAGCTATAGATCTACAAGTGTATAAAGCATGCTTAATTGCTCAGTATTATACAACAAATTTAACTTAATCCAGCTGACGCGCTTTTTCGTATCAGTAAAATTAGAAATAAATCCAGTGAGCACGACTTCTGGATGGTTGCCTAACAATCGTCTAGCGATCGATCTAACGCAAGTCCAACATTTGGTAATTTCCGGACTTCTCGTAGTACTACGTTATCTGTTATGTTAATTCAAACAATAGTTTTAGCACTTGTTAGGCATTATATCATTTCCGGCTTGTTAAGTCCGGTTCCCATTTGCATCACAGCATCAACTGGGCGTGTCCGCAAAAGTTATGCTCCCTTCATATCTACCCTAATGGTATTCACATATCATTGATGGCGCCATATGTTTCCGTTCCGATTTGAGAACAAGTGCCAGCAACGACCTTGGCCAAGTGAGGCGCTGCGAGTGAAACGATTCAATGTGCTCCTCACGCCCCACCCAAACACAAATCTAATGCAGAGCACAGTGAATTTGAGTCAATTAAAATAAGTATATGACTCAATTGATGGGGTGTAGAAGAGCCAGAATACACTCACATGCAAGTGAATGGGGTGCATTCGCCATGCGATGCATTTTGTAATGCTGCGAAATTACTTGTAATCAATAATCGAAAACGTAATCGGCTTATGAGAAGATTCAAGTCCTTTCAAAACTACAAAACAATGCAATTACAAAATGGAATGAATAAACAAATAAAGAAGTTTTAAAATCTCAAAAAAAAAGGTCGGAAATTCGCTACATCATGTATATATATTTTGCAGATCTGTTCTAGATTCAAATATATTTTTGTAGAGCATGCGTAATTCGGTGCGTAAATTTCTGTCTTGTTTGCGGCATAACGATTTTTCCCATTTGTGTATGTTTAGCATATGGAATGAATCAGAGAGTCGGAACTGCATTTCCAAATGTAAATGACTCACGTGGCTATTAGAACTCAAGCGTGTGAATACATTCAAATGTAAGTACAATCATACAGCTTTATACATATGTATGTGTATGTATATTTGAGCAATTACTTATTAATGGTACGAAGCGAAGGTCGCTCAGCGCTGCTAATTTGAAACAAGAGAAACGGATCGTCAGCTGATAAGCTTGTTACCCATTCCCTATACAAGTTTTGCGCTGAGTAAAATTTATCAGAAGGCCGATAGCCGTAAAAAGACAAAACAGACGCAAACAGAGAATAAACATAAAACTGAGAGAGGCTGAGGGAGAGAGAGATGCACATATGGTACAAATGTACCTAAACAGGTACATTCGTTATACACAAAGAGTGTACCATTGAGTGGTCTTTGACAAATTGGTTCATTATTTTCCACCTAGATTTGTTTAATAACAATATTAGCCAATTTTATTGCTGACTCCTTCCTTAGCAATAAAAATATGTTTTTTTTTCTATTTTCCTATAGAAACAATATTTATACAATTATCGTCGACTTCATTCGTAATCATATGATTTATTCAAATAAAGAACTATTTAAAAATGCATAGTTAATTTAAATTGAAAAATAAAAAACACAAGCATATATACAAATGGTACATTTTTGGCGAGTGTTGTACATTTTTTCTTGATTCATGGTACAAATTACAGCCGTCGCGGTGAGCGCCGCTCTCTGCGTTGTGTGAGTAATTGTGTATGTGCGTATGTGTGTTCATATGCTTGTATTGCATACTCATTCGCTCTCATTCGTTCGCTCTCTGCTTGCGTGAGTAATAGTGTATTGCGCGCTCACTCTCGCGCTTGCATGCGTGCCGCTACTAGCATTCTAAGCTTTCAGCCGTTTCGTCGCCGCCAGTGGCATTTTGTGCTTGCTCCCGCGCGCAATGTGAATTTTCTGTGGGCACAAGGAGCATTTGTTGTTGTTAGCGGTTCGCTGGTGCTGTCGTTGTCGTTGTCGTTGTCGTCGTTATTGTTGTAGTTGTTGCTGTCATCGTCATTTGCTGTTTACTGTTAACTGTGTGCTTTGTTTTGCTTTGGGCAGCGGCCTCTGTCATGTCTGTTAACGATAACCACGATCGCAAGTATTTGCGCAGCATTGGCGGCTTGTCCAAGATCACCTGCCTGGTAAGTAGCTTAACTGACCATGTCCACTCGTCTCTGTAACCCCTCTGTGCACGCGCCCCTCTTTAGCTGTGCGGCTTCATTGGATTCCTCTGCATTGTGTGCAGCTCGGTGCGTCTGAGCAATTTTCGCGGCTGCTTCTATATGATCGTCGCGCTGCTTGGCTGCCTGACGACGCTGACGCTGCTCGTCTGCCGCTACCTGCGGCTCGGCCAGAGCTGGAGCTGTGACGCGACGCTCTGGTCGCTTGGCGTGCACGCAACGCTGGCGCTGGCCCACTTTATAGCCTCCGGTCTGGTGCTCGCGCTGGACATCGGTGCCTACACGGCTGCTGCGGTGAGTAAATTCCCTCAATCTCTTTACATCCCTCTCTCAAACTCTACCTCTCTCTGTCTCTCTCTCTCTCTCTTCCCTGCAGTTCTTTGGTCTAACCGTATTCAGCATAAATGGCCTGGAGGCTTATGCCTGCTATAAACGCAGTCGCCAGCGCCATGTAGCTACACAAACGGTCTAGACGCACGCCTCCCACCGACCGCCCCCTATCCAGAGGCTGTTGTGGAAGGCGCTATTTGTACTATCTTAGGCTAGTCTCAATTGAATGTGTGTATGTGTGTGTGTGTTTGAGTGTGTGTTTTAAGTTGCATAAAGTCTGAGTTTGCTAGTTAAGCCAAAAGTCACATTAGTTATTAATATTCTTCTTCTTCTTTCTTCTCATCTTCTTCTTCTTCTTATTCTTGTTGGCGAGCAACTAGTGGTCCGATAAACTTATCAATTTGTCAATAAAACACAATAACAGATACCCTATGTAACTCTGATATCTAATTCGGTCAGCTATGCGGGTTATTTAAGAGCAGATACTACGCTTTATTCATTATGTCATGAGCAGCGCGCCGATTGCAAGGTGTTAAATAACTGAGTGTGAATGAGGGCGAGGGAAAGCGAGAGAGGGGGCTAAAGACAAAGAAAACGAAAGAGATAGAATAAACAACTGGATGCTGTAGAAACATATTTTGCATATATATGACGCCATTTAATGCTCTTTTCCTTATGCTATAATATAGTACCCTATATACCATATATATAGGACTTGAGGTTCCCTTAAACATAATTGACGAGGCTGCCAAACTTCATGAACCGATATTTCAATTTGTAAATATAGTAAACCGATATTATCGCCGCATTAGATCAGCCGAACGTCAATCTATCTGTTTCTTTTATGGTTTGGCTTAGGTTTAGGTCAACATTTTAGAGAAAATAAAAGTTTTTTACACGGAAATGTCTTTCGCTATGCGTAACATAGTTCATAACAAACTTAAGATACCCTCTACGGGGTATAGGCAATGCATAATTGCTTTGTTATCGTCAGGTTCCCATTTAAAAAATCTATTTCATATTATTAACGCATTGTATCGCCATGCTATCGTCCAGCTCTCTTTCAAGGAGTTGCCATACTTTGGACCCATTAACGTACCTATTTGTGTTTAAACTTTTGGCTGTTCCTTACGGTATTCGCTCTCTCTCTCTCCCTCTCGCCAACGGATTTGTGCTATTTGCCCTTCGGCTCAACAACAGTTCAGACTCTCTGGGGTTCTCGCCAATGAGGCACACACAGAGCCAGCCGCGACGTCTGCTTCATTGTTAACTTGAAAATTGGAACTTATTCGTAAACCTGCCTTGGCTGCCAGCCTCCTCCCTTGCCCCTTGCCCCTTGCCCCAGCCACACCGGCCAACACTTTTTGCATAATTCACCTTGAGATTTTTGTTCTTGTTGTAACTTTTGTTGGCACTTGATGAAGTTTTTGGCTGGCCCAACGTCTATTTAAAGCTTGTTTATTTATGTTATTGTTACTGTTATTTGTTGTTGCTGTTGTCGTTGTTCGTGCTGCCGTCTGCCAGGCCCAAGCATATACCCAGTACTCGCATGTGTGTGTGAGTGTGTACATAGAATATTTATTAAGTTAATGAACTGTGCCATATCATAGTGCACTTTATGTGCTAAGACCACGCCCGGCACCGCACCACCAAGCGCGCTAAGCCCAGTTTTAAGCGCAGACCGCACACTCACTGAATCTGAGTGTATGCGTGTGTGTGTGCCAACTAGTTGCAGATTAACTGGCTGCTGATTAAGCGAAGCAATGTAAAGGGCCGAAAGGGCATGCAGGCAGGTCCTTGAACCTTATAAGCGCACCCTCGCGCGTGCGAGCGTGAGTGTGTGTGTGTGTGTATGTGTGTGTGTGTGTGTATGTGTGTGTGTGTATGTGTGTGTGTGAGTGTGTATGCGCGTGTGCGCGCGTGTGTGTGCGTGTGTGCGCGCAAGAGAGTGTGTGTGTGTGTGTGTGTGTGTGTGTGTGTGTGTGTGTCGAGCCAAATTAGAAGGAAACTCTCGCAGTTGCTGCTCCAACTGATCAATCTTAAGCATGCTGATGATGATGATGAGGACGAAATAGACTATTTGCTGTCGCTGACTGGACGCACGTCTCATGATTCATTGGCCATGACAAGCAACAGGGCCCACTGCATTCGGTAGGCGTGCCCACTCGACTTGGCAAACGAGCTTTTAATCATTACTCATACAATTTGGGCGCTGCCAATATGAGAGAGTATAGAGTTTAGCCCACATATACATATATTAAACAGATGAATGTATAAGTACATCAGCAGAGCGGGCGCAAACGCCAAATATCCCAAAAGCCAAGCAGCCAGGCACCCAACCACCCTCCTAACGAGCGCTGAACGGTGAGAACTGAGCAGTCAGTAGGCGCTTTTGTTCATGCAAGTCACGCAGAGTGAAATTAATTAGCCCAGTTGCCTGTTTGGCAGCCCAAAATGGATGCGTGCCTACGAGTATTTATGGGTCTAATGAGTGCAGCATTCCCCACTAATAATGATCATAAGTGAGCAGCTGCCAATACAAATCACAGCGAAATCTCTACAACGTAAAAGCGATCTAAAGAATTTCCATCAAGAAGCAGCTGCTGAATTCTGATCAATTAAAAATCTCGCAAATGCCTGATAATCCGATAAGCCACGCACTGACACAGGGCAGCTTAAGGCTGCAAAATGTGCGAAAAGCCGTTGCATGTAACTATTTTGTTTTGTTTTCAGGCTATCTGCAACCAGGTTTGCATTAAAAGTTAAAAATACCCTTAATCGACTGAAAACTGAGTTTAGCTTTACAAAAACAACCAAGAGTTTCATAGGTGACTAGCATATACCCCGTCGAAGCGCAGAGAGAATATATTCTTGAATAGGTTCGGACTTTATTCACCGATCTTTATGACATTTCCGGGGCTGAAATATAGCACACAAATTTATGCGCAAACCAAGGCCCAAGCCATAACCTTTTAAAGATGTCCAACAAGATAAATTTTCTTGGGAGAAGATGCATATTAAATGTATTTAGCTCTTTTAATCCACGAAATATGTTGAGTTGGAGGTTGTTATCGATTCTTAATGATATCGATGAAACAGAGTTCGCTAGCGGAAAATGAGTGGAATACGAATAGTTACCAACTAACAACAGGCATTGTGTGTTTATTATACAATGTGCTCAATAAAAAACTGCACTCTTCAATAATATACAGCTGTGAATACCTTATTTGGTTATATGACTCTTTCTATGCCTTACATCGAAAAATCGCTGCCAACTAAAAAGAAACTATTTAAAAGCATAATTCATTTGCTTTATTTACTTGAGTGAACGGGTAATAGAGTGAATTTTGCTTTTTCTCTTCGCTATGTTTAGAGATAAAATCAAAACCAATGCAAACAACAATCATAATTATGATTATGATTAAACAAAGTAGGCTAAATATACTGCATACGAAACGTTGGCAAGGGTATATATGTGCCTACACAAGTCGCCTATAGGGCGGTCGCTAATAGCCGGCGGCGTTGTTCAATTTGTGGCTGGGTCGATTGCAATCAGATGCCAATATGCAAGGGTGTATTGCAAAATTGTGAGCATGCCTCAGTTGGGAGTACGCAACTAGAAGATGCCCTATAGCCGAAGAATTAGCTGTTGATTTGAAGGGGGAGGCTGACGAAGTCTGGCTACGGCAAATCACGTACAGTGAAGACTCCAAAGAGCTGATCGTTAGTTGTTATGAAAACCAACGATCAGACCTCTTAAGCCAGTCCTAGGCTGTCGCCATTAACACCCGACACGGTACATTTTTAAATATTTTATTTATATTTAAACATGCAATAAACATTTTATTTTAAAGGTCAAGCTTGAATTCACATTTGCAACTATAATCCAAACAATTTCGATGGCTGTTAGCATAGCCCTCGATAGCGCAAAAACAACAGGGTATGCTCGACTACTTGGCTATGGTCTGCATTTGGCACACAACTCTTGGCATTCAGTTTGATTGGGCAAACAAGCGGCTTCAAACCACGGTACAGCAAGAAGTATGATGACTAAAACTAAGTAGAACTAATTGAAAGCGTGGCCACGACTACGAGCAGATAAAAGCAGAGACTAAAATGAGGCGACAGAGCGAGATAGTCAGAGATTGTTATCAATAGGCAGTTAACAGTCACACTCGAGTGCAGCCAGGTCAGATAAAACAAAAACAACAAGGGCGATCGTAAGATGATATAACAATGAGCAAAATACTATTTAATTCCTTTTTACACATTTTCCATAACTAACAGGGTATTATAAATGCGCGCATTGGCCAGTTGGTTGCCTTTGGCGTTTTTTCAGTGTAGGCACCGCGTGAAATGTGATAAAAAAAAGCAAACGCGAAAGCGATCGGATTCCAGAATTTATAATTAAATGTCAAAATACATTTTTACAGCGTGCACACAGATGCAAAGGGCAAGTGGCGCGGGGCAAGTGGCAAGTGGCGTTCGGGGCAACTGGTAGGTGGACGCATTTAATTAATGAAATCATTTTCAAATCAAGCGCGCATTTAATCAAAGCGCCCCGTTCAGGCGATGCTATTTGTCTGTCTGTCTCGCGCCGTCCCCTCGGTCTGCGTCATTTGTTTTGCCCTAGCTTAGACCTGATGCCCGCCCTTTTCCACGCTCCCGCTGCGGTCGGCCAAGGGCAAACTGTTGCCGCCTCCAAATGGCAGCCACAACAATGTCCAGCCGTAACCGGAGTAGGACTCGCGCACAATGTGATAGCCAATGGACGTAATGATTGCGCTTCCTGCTGCCGCTTCGTGCTCGTGCTCCTGCTCTTGTTTCTGCTTCTGCTCTGGCCCTTTGTTCGCTTCATTATCCATTTATTGTGATGGTTGTTCCTGGCGCTGGCGACCTATTTGTGGGCTGCTGTTATTATTTTTAGGATTGACATTTAATCTCTGGTTGCATTTTACTGTCGCATGTCCTTCGGCGCAATCTCCACGCGTGGCTTCCTCTTGCCAGTCTGGATAAACAATTCAGAATAAACTGATTGCATCGATCAAAATTAGTCTAACCACCCCCCCCCCCCCCCCCCCCCCCCTCCCACTCCATCTCTCTCTTTCTCACTCTCTCTCTCTCTATCTCTCTTTAGGGTATGACAATTCAGTTATGATTAAAGACAAATTCTTCCACCCATCTAAACTTCTGCATATACCCATTCCCATTCGTCAAACAAGCTCCTCGTTTCGAAAGGTCAAATTTTTTCATAAATTAACTGTGTATATCTTATATATTATACATTATAGAATATGGATTATATACTGCAATATATTTTATATATTTTATAATATTTGTTATGTGTCTTAAAAATCAAAAGACTTTTCTTAGTAAATGTAACTGATATCGTAGCTTTTTGCCATATTGACACGACTTTCGGGTCAACTCTGAGAAATCCCTAATTTTGAAAAATATATCGATACATAGTTAATATTCCTAAGAAATATATATGGACCAAACTGTCAAGAATTATGTGATTTATCTTTGGAGATTGTAGCATTTGTTTGAGCATATGAAGTATGTCATTTGTATTATCGTTAGATGTTGAAAAATAAAAAAGGTTTGACAAAAAACTTTAAGGAAAAAACTATCAAAATTGGATGAAAAACTGTTGAATGTGTTACGAGGATTGTGC